GTGAGAAAATGTAATTTCAATAAGGTCAATGATATAGTATATCAAGCTTCTCTGGAAAAATTAGAAGAGACTTATGGAGAGGGGAAAGCTATTTAAGCTTGTAGATATTCAATCTAATCTCAGGCATGATGAGTCAGATTCTCAGCCCAAAGAATTTCCTGAAACTACAGATGATAGAAAAAATTGCGAAAAAGATCTCATACTTAAAGAAGCTGAATAAATATGGAATCAATAGGCAACTCAAAGTACAACCACCTGAAAAAAACGAAGATGACCCTAGAGGGACGGATCTTACAGTCCAGACAAGAGATGAAAATAAAGTAGTAAATCTGTCTTCCATCCCTCTTGACCTGAAAACCACAGAAATCCTCAAAGGGATACGTTGTGCACTTCAGAATGAAAGGAAGGCAATGAAAGACATTTTAGTAAAGGTGATAAATACCTCTGAAAAGCTACCGGAAGAATCACAAAGATAGCTAGAAATGGAAATCATCCCAACAATCTTGGCGCACTAAGAACTTAATGATAGGAACAATATTACCAATATATATAGATAATTGAGAATAAACGATGAAAGTCCTACAAGCTGACAAAGAAGGTGCCACAATGGTGATGGATTAGAAGGAGCAGAGAGAAAATGAGAAATATTGTCAGGGAGACTAGAACTTATCGATTGCTATCATAAGACCCAACAGTTAAAATCGAAGGGGCACTACAAGAAATGCTAAAGGAAATGAATATGAACAGGGAAATCAACAAATTGATAACGAATTCACTACTACGAAAGGATGCAAGAGCCCAGGTTGGATACGGTTTGCCGAAAGAAAGGAAACCATTGAGACTAATTGTCAGCAACAAACACGAACCAACACATAAACTGGCGAAATATATCTGCCTCGAAGTGAAGAAAATGAATGACAGATGATCGAATACAGCGAAGAACTAATACTAATTTTTCCATCAGTTTGGAGAGAAATTAACTTTTGGTGAGCTTTGATGCACAGTCCATGTTCATGAGAAAAAGCACTCACGGCAGTGCTGGAGATCTTGGAGGAAGATGGCATCCTGGAGACGGAGCGAATCCGTAAGGACTCTCTAACCCGATTGATCAACTTAAAAAGATCTACCTATTTCATGTTCAACGGCCGCATCTATGAGCAAATATTTGGTCTGCCCATTGGTTCGCCACTCTCCCGTGTTACCTAATGTCTACATGGAGATTTGCGTTAGCTCCGCAGCAAACAGAAATTATGTGGTATGTGAATGACTACATCGCAATCTTGTAGCATGAATAAAAATTTGACGATTTATTGATCTTTATAAATGAAATGGATGAAAATCAAATTTGCCATGGATGTGGTTATTCAATTTTGAGGAGACTCTTAAGAAACGTTTGGGAATATGCCAAGTCAATGGTCGATGCTGGAAGTCATTAATACTATGGCGTAGGACTAGGTACACTCCACAAGGTCTCCCTGACGCTCCGACCAAGTTGCAAAAATAAAGTCGAACTAACAAAATAAGGCTAAAGGGGACTGCGACCGAACTAAAGGCCACATCATCTTGGCTTTCATATCTAAAACTTAATTAAGTTCTGCTTCCTCTTTATCCATTCTGTTGAAGCATTAGTGCTGATTTAAGAAAGAATCCCAAGTACGCATGAGTATTACGAATAAGTAGGAGCTGGCTAAATCAAGCATGATGTCAGCTCTAGTAGAACCCTTTTGTAATAAGGATATCATCCAAGGAACTAAGGCCCGCATGTGCCATGTCCATTAAAAGATAAAGATAAACTACACTAAAAAAATGGATTTCATTTGCCCACGTAAGGAACAATAGTCATATAGTCCAGAAATTTTGATTAAAGGACATAAAAATGGCCAAGCCTTAAAGTATCAACTTTCAACTGGTAAAAAACGGCAAAGAAACCTGCTGTCGGTGTGCAAACATTGTAAATAATAAAGGTAACTCATATAGAGGTTAATCTAAAAGTCATATAAAATATAGGTAAATCAGTGATTAGCTGATGGATTAATCGACTAGGGAAAATCATAATGTAAACAATTGCTGAAAGTAGCTTGCCTCAAAGGACAAAGAAAGACGGAGCGGCTGAAGAAGGCTAGCAAATTTAAGGAAGAAATTCTTTGGGAGGATTATATGAGCGTCTTCGCTTAAAGATGTCAAACATGCTCTCCCCCTCAGCAGCCTTTTCGGCTGCTTGGGAGCCTCGGGCAACAAGATCAGTGGTCGGAGAGGTACCAGATGCATGCTTTCCTTGGCCAACAGAGCCGTAACGACGTTCCCAGAGGAGGCGATGTTTCTGCTTCATAAAAGCGGTAACTACGTCTTTATTGCCTGCGATATCGCCGTCTATAAGAGGAAAATTTGCTGTTAAGTTAAAGAGAGAATGCAAATCATGGACGAAAGCAAGGTATCATTGGTCAGATAATTAGACATGTCAAGTAAAATTAAGGTTAAAAATAACGCGGAAGCTAATAGAAATTTTACGACTATACTTTTTAAATTTAGTTTATTATTTACACTTAATAAAGTAATTTGTTGCCGCCTCCTCATACTCCGAAGTGTATGTTGAGCAAAACCTAGCGACATCCTCCGCTTCACGTTGATACCAGATGCGGCATCCTTCCATTAATTTTTTAAGTATCAGGACAACTTGCCCATCAACGAGCCTGAATGGAACAGAAGATGAAAAAATTTAAAACTTAATAAGGTAATGAAAAATCGGAGAAAATTGAATCAAGGCCACAAGAGACGAATTTTTTTAAATATCAAACAATGGAACTAAGAGTTTATGAGAAAACTAGAAACTTCAACACAATTTTGGATCAGTAGCACAAGAAACCACTTTAGATATTATTAAATAGATTTAGTAAAGGAGTATCACTATAAAATATATCGGTTTACCTGTCTCGATTATATTGCTCGTTAGCTTCAAAGATGCATTTATCGTCTTTAACAATGCATGTATCTATTGTAGGAACCCTATCATAACGTTTGTGATAGTATACTTGTGGGGTTCTTAGCTTATCAACAACGCGTTCTTGACACAAAAATAAGTAAAGACAAAGTACCTTTGAAGAAAGTCACAGGAGCATCTATCAAGTATAACAAAGGAACATATATATATTTGTATACAATCGAAGTATCATAAGGTGCAAAGAGATCTTCCCTAGATAATTCATGATGATGGTCACCCCCCGTCATTATGAAATAGCATCAAGGACAAATCACATCTCCCACCCCCGCCCTAATAAACAACAATCAAAATTTATTTAAAATGATCATAATTACAAAAGCATTATTATTCTTAGATTTTTATATCTTAAATTGAATTTAAAGCAGGTAACTAGTTTTTTAATCGAAAATCAATATATCATTCAATAGCATTCCAAGTCCTACCTTCAGTTAAATGGAGTTCCTTGGTCACAGCCCTACCGCAGTTTATTTAGGAGCAGCAAGAAGGCAAAATGAAACCTCAAAGCTGCCCAACATAGCTTCTTTGCCCCCTGTCTCGAATGATCAGCAGAAGTATGGCCAATTCGACTACCCTTTCAGTAGGGCTCTTACGACATTGGGTTATACACCGGCCAAATTTTATACAAGTGCTAAATTCGACCCAAATAGTTCCCTTACCGGCTCTTCGCCGGCAAATGTGGACACTTCTAATCTTAGCACTCTTTCGGGAATTAGAGTACCTCCCATATATTCGGCTGCCAGAAATGCTCTTTACACAAGATATACTCAAAAGAATTGGTATGAAAACTACCAACGTCTCCTTCATGCCAACGACCGCGCACTCAAGGACTCTGAAAATTTACTATATGAGTCTGGTCGAAGAATTAACGAAGAGATTGCACTCACTAAAGCTAATCAAGACGAGGCAACACGAAAGCTTGGAGATCGAATATGTGATATAAACTACTGGATAAATGAATTGGAGGACGAAATAGATAAGATGGTGAAGGAAAATAATGATCTAAATCGTACCAAAAGAATAGCAGAAAAACTGCTTACTGAGACGGAAAATCAGTTACACATCGCTCAGGAATGTCTGTACAACAGAGAAAAACGTCAAGGAATTGATTTGGTCCATGATAACGTAGAGAAAAAAATGGTCCAAGTAAGTTTACAAATGTATTTACCATGAATGCTACCTCCTTACTGACTCAATCGACTTAATTTACATTATTATTGAACTCATTTTTATCTATCCAACATAATATCACTTTACTAAGGTATCACTTCTTATATGCATTGCCAACATTACAGCAAGCATCTCCAACGTAAGTTATTTAACTAATAACCATTAACAGTAGCGAATGCTTTACTTACTATCGATTACTTTTCACTTAGTCTCCCTCAAGATGAGATGAACAAATTGAACATCTGCTAGTTGTTACGTAGAATATATAGGCATGGTCCAAATTATTTCCACTCCAGACACTAAGCCTTAAATTAAATTAATGGAAAAGATGGCATATTACACAAAGATGGCTTAACTTCTCTTCCTAAAGCTCACGAGAAATCCATATAGTAGTCTGCTCAATAAAATAACCAATTTTATTAAAATCTAACCTATCTACAAATGAAAATTAGTTTTTAAATGTGCTAGGAAACAGTCCATATAAAGAATTTTCCTCCACGATACCAAATAGAGTATTACTGCTTTTAACTGCCTCAAATCTTGATGAGGTTCCTAATTCCAAGGATACTTCCGCAGGCTGGCCTTATTTGAATAACACTATTAAATAAAGAATAATGAGGTAAAGAAATTGTTTGACCTTGTTT